CACCACGTATCTTCCATGGACCCAACGACGCTGCACGGCGCACGACGCGCGCGGGGTATCACATCGCTCGTCGCAGGGAGCGGCCTGACGTCCGGTCTCCTCTTTGGCCTTGGCATCGACTCGCGTATTCATACCTACGCCACGCCGACCCTGAATCCGCTCCCCGCAGACACGAACTGCTTCACCCACCCCGACATGATGACCAACTCATTTTATTCCCGTTTGTCGGTCTCCCCGGACGGCCGTTGGCTGGCGAGCGGAAGTACCAAAACAACGGTGGGCGGCTCCGCGTTCGCATTCGACGTTGCGCACGCCGGACGCGTCAACCCTGGGCCTGTGTCCACGCAGGGCGTGCGGTTGACGGCACACAGTGGGGAGGTTTGTGCGGTAGATTGGGCGAACGATTCATTGGCGACGTGTGCCGACGACGGCTCCGTGCGTATCTGGAGGAATGATCCGGAGGTACGCTGGCGATGCGAAGCGGATTGCAACCAGGCGTCTGACTGGGCATGGGGGGTTGTGAATGGACCTTGATGTCTTGAACGAATGGTGATCCGTGGCGCAGGGTTATCGTCGCAATCGTGCGTGCATGCAGCTTGTATTTTGCAGGACTTGATGGACCATAGGAGACATTATGGATTACAGTATGTGTGACAATCGCGCGACAGGCGCGAAAAAAATCCAGAGATGAATAAGTATACGATGGGAATGAAAGTTCAATAACACGGTGGGCAATCATTTTTTCTGTATTGCATTCACCAACCTGTACAGCGAGACGTCGGCGTCAGCAGGACAAACAATCATAGATGAGCGAGGCGGACGCACCAATCCAAGCCCTCTTCTAGACCTTCGCCCTTCAACGCGCAACTCCCCCGCACACTCCAATCCCTGCCCTTCTCCCCGCCAGCAAGCCCGAGCTTGTCGCTAATCTCCTCGGGCTTGAGTGCCCCGTCCGCGTCCTGCTTGTTGCAAAATACAAGCAATGGCACACCGTTGAGTTCTTCTTCAGACAGCATCGTCAACAGCTCCTCGCGAGATGTTTGGAGGCGGGAGTGGTCAGACGAATCAATGACATAAATGATGGCGGATGTGTTGGGGAAGTAACATCGCCAATACGGACTGTGGGGGCGACTTGAGGACAGCGAAACGGGAGAGGAACCGGTGGACGTACCGGATGCTTGACTGCCCACCTAGATCCCATACTTGGAATTTAATGTTCTTGTACTGGTAGGGGTGTCAGACGATAGTCATTCAGAAATGTGAGATGAGCTGCTACCTGCACAGTCTCGACATTGAACCCGATTGCTGCACAACTGCGTGAGCTATTATTGCCTCACTCTCATTGAGCCGGTCAAGACGTACTCGGGATTGTCGAAACGACCTCGCCGATCTATTCGATGGATCAAATTAAGAGCCATGCATGCAAAATCCAACATCAGCACGCACCTGCAGCCTATACAGAATTGTCGTCTAACCGGCGGAGGAGCATTGTAAGCATACATGCGTCAGAGCCTAACAATGTCCGTGCATACCTTTCCGGCGGAATCGAGACCGAGCATGAGGATTCGGACATCCTCGTCCTTACTCCATCGTATAAGCGAGGATAGCGAGGTGAAAAGGGAGGATACAGAGAGGCCCATGGCAGCCAGCACAGATGGCAGAGTGAGTGAAGCTGACTGAAGTGGGTCCCATTCCGGCGCGCTGAGATCATCACACGTGGACCGGCCCGGCGACGCTCGTCGCTCACGCCTCGCGCTCCTCGACGTTCAACGTTCACCTTCACCATCTCCTTGCAGCCTATCCCACGTTCCTTTCGACGGATGTCTATCTCTACAGAAAATCCAAATACAGGTGTAACCCCACCCCCCTCCTACACAAAGATGAAGAGAAAGCACGAGCACCTGGATACCGATTCGCTCCAGGACCTCCCTACACCTGCCGACAAGAAGCGGAAAAAACACAAAGGAGATGTGGACGCGGACGCGGCGGATATCCCTTCTTCAAAGAAGGAAAAGAAAATCGGTAAGAAAAGTGGACCATATATCGGCGAAAACAGAGATGAGCAAGGGGAGGAGACACGGGCAGAAGGGAGCGGTGAGAAGAAGCGGAAGAAGAAAAAACGCGACTCGGACGCGGAACTCGTTGTAACTCACCTCGATGATCCCATAGAGAAGGTTATTGCACAGGAAACCCATGCCCCGAACGCGGAGACCAGGAAGGAGAAGAAGGAACGAAGGAAACAACGAAGAGAGCTGGATGACGTGGATGGAGCTTTCATGGGGACGACGGGTCCGGGCAAAACGAAAAGGACGAAGAAGGGCAGAGGTGTGGAAGAAGACGTCAAGAGTGCTGAAGCAGATGTGTCTATCGTCGAGGAGGACAGAAAAGCAAAGAAGAAGAAGAACAATCGCGACGCAGAAGTCGATGCCGACTCCCAAGCTGCGTCTACTCCCAAGAAAAAATCCGAGGGGGATACCCGAGAGCCTGAAACCAAGGAGGCAAGAAAGGAGCGTAAGAAACGTACGAAGGGCCTCACCGATCCGGAGGGAGACGACTCGTTATTCGAGCAAGCTAGCAAAGGTCCGTGTACCGCCCCCGAATAAGCATCCCCTTCTGAAACGCTCCCAAGCTCTCTTGTACGCATACTCGCAATTTAGTGACCCCTCATCCTGGAAATTTCAAAAGGCCCGGCAGAACTGGCTGCTCCGAAACCTATGGTCTGAGACGAACGTCTGTCATCCTTCGTCCGCGTCTACCTCCCCTCCTGTTGCTCTAATGTCTCTCCTTCGTTCCTTAGATCCCAGAAACATACATACCCCTCGTCACGCGGTATTTCTCAAATACCCAAGGTGGCATTCGTGAAGTCCGTAAAAATCTCACGTTCACACCATACACCACCCTCTAACTGTTCACCCTCCAACAGAATCTCATCAAAATGTGCCGTTCCCATTTATCTCCTCCCATTGCAGCAGAGGCCGCGGCCGAAGGTACTCAAGATGAAACGTCACCCGCGGCCCTTGCACCGTCCGTCCCCTCAGACGCTTTATGCGCTAGGGCTCAGTTTGTCCTGGATGCATTGGCGGTAGATGCACAATCTACTTGACAGCGATTGCCGACTTCGATGTACAGCGGTTATGCATACAATAAATACTGCAGGGTCTTCTCCGGCACAACCATCTTCTCAGAAAGGCCATCCGGGGAAGACTGCTACTCACGATTACTTCACGGGTGTTCGTACACTTGCCGAACGGCTCGTCACTCCCTTGCTTGAAGTTGTTCGACGTCTTGACGTCGTAAGAGTCAAGTTGTCAACTTTTGATTTTATTTTATTTTATTCTTCAAAAAGGCCAATGCGAACTTAGAAGATAGTAAGCTGTAACAAGAAGGACAAAAAGACCCTGCCGTGATTTGAACACCAGACCCTGCCATATGTTGCCGAAGAGCTGCAATCGCATGCTCTAACCACTGAGCTACAGAGTCATTTGAACGATGGCCTCCCTGTACCTTTATGATTAGCTATGCAACCTCAAGGAAGTGCACAATTTATTTTAGCTTGTACAATGTTGGTAAGTACAATGAACCCCAGATCGCATTTACCACGCTCTGGAGGTCCAAGCATTCCAAAAGAAACTCCCCGGTGCAAGCGTCCAGTTCCTCATGCCATAGATATAGGCAAAGATTCCAAGTACATACATAACCTTGATTTCTGCATCAGAAAAATAGTTAGCAGATGACCTTGTATGTGGGATTTGTGACTCACGCTTCGCTCTGTGAGCATATTGCCGGACCTCCGAGCTAAGCTGGGGCACTCCCATGAGGTTGCAAAAGACGTGAGCGACCATCGGCGGAAACACAGAACTGCTTCGCAGGAAAAGGAACGCGCAATGGAAGCCAAACAGGGTAGTATAGGTAAACTGGAAGACTATCGCATAGTCCGTGTCAGCCTAACTCCAAGCCACCCACAAGTGAACCTACGAGTCGAAATGATGGCCACTCGGAACGCGTCGCGGTTTCGACCCAGGCGGTTATATGTTTCCCAAGCATGGTGGAAGTGGGCTAGATGACGAAATGAATGAAGGTCCGGGGAAAGTGCAGCGAGAAAACTCGCCAGAGCCGAAGGACACAGGTGTGAAGAATATCAGGAAAGCCCGCGATGCGCCTGCGAGATGATACCCAGCAATGACACACGAGCGCCAAACAAGCTCTTCAGAAACGGGGCCCTATTCGAGGAGCGTGATTAATAACCTACAAGTAGAGACCGTGGCGATACGCACTATAATGAAATTTCTCGCCCCTTGCCATGTGCCGAATATGTTCAGGATGTGCGTCCGCACCGACCAGTTGCGCATGAACGGTAGTTCGTGCCCGATAAAGCGTGCATAAAGAGGGCCAAGGAATAATGCCGGCGTAACAAGATAGGCCAGAGCGTCTTCGACCTTCAGCATAAGGCCGAGACGCAGAGCAGTGGCATGAAAACGCGTCTGGATGGCGCGAACTGAGCAGCTGTGGTCATGTGGAACAAACGGTAGATCTCACGAAAAAAGGCTCCTCCGTTTCTTCTAGATTGATGATATGGTGGATCGCGTAGCACGACAGGATTGTGCTGAGTGTGACCGATAACAGGCGAGCTTTGATGACAGCGGGGTCATTTCGTGAGCGCTCGGGTGACGGCCTTGCTTCTTGATAGGTCGAGAATGAGAGGCGAGTGTACTTGGTGAAGTATAGAGGGAGCACGTAGCCAGCCGTGAAACAGATGTTCAAGACATGGGCCTGCGACAAAGTCAAAGGAGGCGTCGTGAAGACGGAGGTCATAGAATCTTGCTGGGAGGGTAGCGTTGCGGAAAAGTCTGACATGCTTGTACTAGTCATGTTTGTAGTTTATATCTGCCTGGGACGTCGAGGCAAGCGAGTGAAACGAAAAGAGGAGTAAGTCAAAGACATAGCGTCAGTCGTCCTCGCCGTTTCGTTGAAAAGGCTCTTTCGTTCTATGGGTACCCTAATTTAGGGTTAGGACATCAATTTCAACCGTACATCCACCATTCTCCAGGCTTGCTTCCCCCCTTCACCGGCGTCGCATGATACCAACGCATGCAATAATAGTACGTAATTGAGAATACATTATACATGGAGTACAGACAATCTGAATCTACAATACATAACGACCTTATGAACCTTACAAGAGAAGCAAAGTACAGGCAACAAGCACACCAGTCAGTCCTCCGACTGCACCAACAACGGCCCAGCGCGTGTGCTCTCCAAAGTGGCGACTGACATCTCCAACGTTGCCAATGGATGATCCTCGGAAAACGTACAAAGCGATACCAGCGACAAACGCGGCGATTGCCCATGCGAGGAACACAAGAGGAAGAGAAAGGAGAAAGCTCCTACGCTGTTACGCCAAAAGCGAGTTCTGTCAGATTGAGTGTAAAGGGCCAAAAAGAAATCCACCCACCGTGACTACCATCAACCCCTCTCCACCGATAGCATACGAAGAATGACGTTCGATGTCCGCCTTGTACCGGAACAACGCAAGAATGGCCGACATCAAGCTCGACGCGGAAAGGATGATGGCAAAAAGGCCCGCGATACGCGCCAGATCGTCCAGACCCGGGAGCGTAATGAAGGTCACAGAGGCACTCAAGATCACAGCGGCCTAGGGCAGAAAGGAAAAGCACAAACACATCGATTGAATGTTTAACGTTTAACGCTTGTACAAGCATTTACAACTCACTATCATACATGCGACCGCGCCCACCGCGATCATTGGTCCAGCCGAACTACGAAGACCGCTTTCCGCATCTATGCGGTGGTGGCGCGAGCGGTCAAGGAAGAGATACGGTATGCCCAGGCATACGGCAGAAACTGCCAAGTCGACGGCTTTGCGTCCGATGGGGAACAAATATTCATCACGACCAGCGCGTTTGTTGCGTTGGGCATCTGGAGAACCATCTCGCTGACGCCACGCAGCTAATGCGAGATGAGGGTAGTTCAGATAAAGATGGAGGCTGACTTACTCATACGGAGCATAATCTTGGCAACGATGTGGGTACGAATGACGGCCTGTCCAGGGGACGGATTCGCTGAGAGACAAGTGTAAGACGACTTCCTCTGCCACAATCAAGAGAAACGCAGTACCTTCAAGCGACCGAAGGATGCCCATAAGTTCCTGGCACTCATCATGGCTGAATGCGGGTATCGATCCGCTAGTTGACGGCAACAATCGTTCTTACGAGTTGCAAATCAGAACATCGCTTGTCGCAATCACTGGACATGCACACACCAGTATAAGACCACGTCAACATGTCCATCGCCTCCGATACGGAAGTGGGCGGAAGAAGGAGGTGAGCCGGGTGCGTTTCAACGTAAGACCAGTAACGATGCTCCATCTCCAGCTCTGAATATTGTCTTTATGAGAATTTTATCACGAATACAAGGGGAGACCTACGCTGTTCCTTGGACAGATCCTCCATTTTCATCCGCTCCGGGTTGCGATCCAAAGAAACAATCTTCTTCGCATGATTGACCCAAGCTTGTGCGGGTGCGAAGTTATGCTTCTTGCCTCCACTGCGAAGCCATGCTTCCCAGTCGAGAGGAGGAAGAGGGGCCTTTCCAAGGAAGCGAGTGACCTCGTGCATCTTGGCAGGATAGCGAAGGTCCATATCGGTTACGACGTGCAGAGCGGGATGCATGAAATACACGCTAGTATCGGGAAGAATGTGCATGCGCCAGCCTAGCTTCTCGAACGAGTCGGCATCGTGCTGGAAGGCATTGTTGAAAATGGCTATGGGCCCGGCATGAGTGTCTGGTTCTGGAAACGCTGTTCCGTCCGTAGCCACGGCCTGTGAGGATTGTCGAAGGAGAGGAAGAGTTTCGCTGAAAAAAGTGCGAAACCATAAGAATATGAAGGTTGTCGTCGTTCAATAACACTAAACGTACTCTGTCTCGTAGCCGACTGGCTCGGGCTGGCGCACGGCATTGCTTTGACCACCCAGGCTGTACATCGAGGGTCCAGGTTGTATCCTGCTGAAGCAATCGTCAGGAGCTGAATATGAGATGCAAAGCAGAGCCCTGAAACTGACCTTATAGGCATGGCGATTTCGGTAATCGGAATTGGCATCGATACTTCTGTACTTGGCTCATCATCAGGGAGCATGCCGGGCATATGGAAAGGTCTAAACAGGCGGAAATTAGTATACTAGTCTGATGCGCATGGCGGAGAGTCGTACTCAGGTATCCTTCCTGGGCCAGAGCTGGTCGGGGAGTATATATGGATGGGCGCCGTCTCCGGAACAGGGTCGGCGAAGGGATCATCGTAAGACCTGTATACTTATGAGTAAAGTAAAGCGGTGAAAAGGCAGACTCGTACTGTGGCATATGTGGGGGCTGAGCATCGTCATTCTCGTGTGAAACAAATACCGCCCGCGCGGACTTGGGGCCTGGCGAGGAAAGAGAAACTTGACTAGGCTTAGACGACACGTCGGCGTCGACTATCACAGTAGGTGGAGTGATCGGTCGCGCTTGCGAAGAAACCGTAGAGGCTCTCGTGCGATGCGAAGCGACAGAAGCTTTGGAAGGTTTACGCTCCAAGTCGGCTTCCTTGGGACGGTCGAGGGGCCGGGGAGTAGTTCCAGTGCTGAGAGCTTCTTCAACTACGACTGGAGTAGGCATGTCGATGTGGCTGGGAGCTTCCGTATGCGCGGGCAACTCAACAATGTCGCTGTGCCCGGCATCCGACTGCTGCCATGGATTGTGAGAGACTGACACCGATACTACAGATGGAGCCTTGGGAGCCCCCGGATCCTCGGGGGAAGTCTGAACTGCTGCAGGCTCCGAGGCGACGATGGGCTCAGGCTTCGCCTCCGAGACCGGCGCGACTGCCTCCGGGTTGCCTTCAGAGAGGGAGACGGACTCGAGTTTGAACTCGGGCTCGGGCTCGGGCTCGGGCTTGGACTCGGGTTCGTTTGACGCGGAAGTAGTACGGACCGTTGGCTCGACGGCCTGTCCCCATGGCCTAGCAAGGGGCTCTGTTGGGGGATGCGTGTCGGGGTGTTGAATTGACTGCGACAGCCTGACGGGGTGAATGCTGTGGGCGGCAGACATCTCACCAGGCGTGCTGGTGATTGGACCATCGCCCCAAGCCTCCTGCGGAGATGGAGATTTGGGAGGAATATCGATAGGTTCCGAAGCCGTAACTGGGGGCTCTGCGAGCCTGGAAGGCGCCGGTCGGTGCGTTTCTGCCATCGCAGCACCTTCGCGTACGGGGGTCTCGGGGACGGGGCTGGGGAGCACGTGGTCGAGCTCGTGGGCTGGCGTCGCATGGTGAGGGTCGAGTTTCAACGACTCGCGGGAGGAGCGGGATTGGGTTGGTCTTGTGAAGGTCAACGCCGAAGAAGAGCGGCGGACGAGAGTGCCCATACGGGTACGAAGGGATTTCGTGGGGGTCGTTTGTGGTTGTGACGTGGGAGGTGCCATAGTGCAAG